GGCCGTGGTTTGATGGCAGAGCTGCGGTGCCGTCGGCTCGACGAATAATATAGCGGCCTATAAAAAATTGCCGGTAACTCCTCGACGTACCCGATGCCAAGCTTCAAATCAAGATTGCCCCCTCCTGTGTGCCGCTCACGGGCCCGCAGTACAATCCGTTCGCCCGTGAATAATGGATGACGTTTGGCAGCTTCAGAGCTTTGATAAAAGGGGGCCGCTTCTTGAAGCCAGCTAATCAATGTTAAGGCCCCGTTACATTATGCCCAGATCGATGAATGGATGGAGATGGTGGCGGCGGGAAGTTTGGTGGCCAAGAGCGTGCGCATGCTCCCGAGCTCGCTTTGCACGACTTGAATGTTGGATTCCGGCTCCTGAAGGTCCAGGAAGGATCGGCAGTATTTTGACAGACTCTGGCATGTTAACGTCCGAGTGGCATCCAAGCGATAGAATGTGCTTGAGGAGGACTACGCTGTGGAGATGGAGCAATGATAGAAGATTAGCTCGTGGTGGGGTACTGGATTAGATTGCTACATTGCAGGACCTGGAAATCTGTGACAACTTGGAGAGGTTTTAAGCAAGCAGTGGGTTGATCATGGCTGACTGTGAGGATGACGATTTAATTAATTTCGTGCTGATGAGAAGTCGAGGCTGGTTCAGGGTCATTAGCTCGTCGAATTCAAAACGACCGTGAGACATCGGTTTGGAAGCTTGCTGGCTGGTCACCAGATTAAAAAGACATTTATTTAACCAATTAAACAAATTCCTTGCACGACTCCCAATATAGATTTACGTGAACACAGCGCTGCGTGCGAGATTCAAATTGTGGCACGGTACCTGATTGATGCCCAATCTCACGGATCACCGGGGTCAAGCACAATGGGCTTTGTTGACAAAGGCTGCAGGGAGACAAGTGCTGATCGCGAGCGGCTTGTCCGACACGACACTACAGTGGCACACTGCGCCGGGAGCAGCTGTTCTGCTCCTGCCGCCATGGCGATGTGCCGCGCGCCATGGCAACACCGACACAAGACGGCCCTTCTGGTACCCGGCAGCAGGAGGGGGAAGCCCTTTCTACCAAGAGACGCCAATCTGCCACAAGCAAGCACCGAGTTTTGAATCAACGTCTTCGTTCGTGACTCCGAGTCGGTGTCGGACGGTAGGGGCCGTCATCTTAAAACCACGGTGCACGTTCACATGGAGCCTCTGGAGGGACGGTGACGAGCCGAGCGGACCCCTGGCTGCGATTTGAACTCACAAACCTTCGAGATTGCGAGTCCAATGCTCCTACCATCGCGCCGCCCGTCTCACGGAAGACAACGCGTGTGGGGGGGGGGGGCTGTGCGAGCGTGCCGTCTCTCGCCCGACACGTGCGCTCCGCAGACGCTCGAGGGCAGGGACGTTGAGGACCCGGCCCGTGTCCATCCGTCTCCCCTATCGCCACCCGCGCACACATCCATTGAGAATGCTGCAGTGAAGGAATGCTGCAAGCATTTATCTTTCTGGCCAATGGCCACAGAAGACATGTGGAATGAATTTAAGACGGTTTCACATTTCTTTCTTACCGCTTTCCTTGTGCACGGCTATTTATATATTTATTTCCACCCATGTAAGATTGCTTTTGGGCAGGAAGTTTGTACGGGACGTTTCTTGCTGAAGGCGGGCTTTTGCGTCAAAGTACTGTGTGGAGCTCGCTCTGTCGCTGGTTAGACAGGGTCTTGCGACAGCATTCATCGCGATGCTGTGCAAGCGAAGATGTTCGCGGGAGGCCGACTTCAGCAGTAAAATATGATGACCTTACAATCACGAATGCAGAACTTAAATGAACAGCTTGCAAATGGATGAGAGATGACTGAACTGTTGTGCTGTATTGAGGCGTTCTCAGCAGGCTTGTAAGCATGTCCACTGCCACAGTAATGTGTAAAGTCCACCACCGATAGAGGAGCAACACCCACAACAGCTCGGCACGAGTGACAGTGGCGGTTGCTCATCTCCGTTGGCCACCCGAAGGCTGCAGTGGAAGTTCCACATTCCTGTGGTGGGAACCATTTTCTCCACTGGATATCCTCACCACTGGCATCTTTCCCCAATACGGTATCTATTTTACCCACCACTGCTGGATGTAGGCTTCCCCACGCCAGCGCACTAACCGCGGCGCCACCACTCCACGCCAAGATTCACATGACATTGCTCGTTTCATTTGGTGTCCGCAGATCGATTTGTTATTGTTATACTTTGCACCAAAGTCCTTTGCTGGACATTTTTCACATTCTTTGTATTTTACACCGCAGGGCTCTTTCGCCAACAAGAATTTGACTTCCCCGCCTCCTACTGCCACCACCTCATCCACCTGCCCCCCAGACATCTGCAGGTCAATGTGTAACGCACATCATCATCATCATCTGCGTGTGATCTGTCAACGGCATCTTCCAAGTCGCCGGCATGTATTGCAGTCACACAGATTAAACACACATATATATAGTTCAGCTTTGCTGGGGCTAAACCCCACGTGAGCACGTGGGGGTTCGTCTCTTTTAGCCGTAGACGACTGTCGCGGCTTTTGTTTGTGCAGCGACAACGCTTTAGCCGCACGTAGGCGTCGGTTGACACAACAACAACAGCCGCAGCAGCAGCACGGGTGGCGGACCGCGTGGTTCCGAGCGCTACGCCAATTGAGCTGGCAGCGGTTCGATTCCCGCTACAGACGCACCACCGTATCTGCCCACACGGAATCTGCCAGAGGGCCCGGTCGGTCTTCTGTTGAGTGGACAACGAAGACCGACACAGTCACTCACAGGAATGACGCTATTGGTGTTCCAGTGTCATGGCCCCAGTATTCACGTGGAACTCCCACTGTTGGCTCGGGCGCGTAAACAGGAGATTAGACCCCAACGCATGCGCGTCCGAGTGGGAAACCGATTTGGCTTCAGCTCAGTAATATTCGCGGGATGAATCTTAAAGGAATCTCACCCGATTAAATAAAGAATGCTAAGCACATACTGTATATACTTAGCAAGTGTGCGTGCAAATTCCTATTGATCATTGCAAGGATTTTTTGCAATAAAAAGTAAAATCCCATTAAACGGCCATAAATGTACCTTTACGCACGCAGACTCATCATGTTCGCTCACGTATCTGACGATAACAAAAACAGCGTACAGCCCTCCGTCAATCCACTGCTGGATGAAGGCCTCACCACGCCATGTCAAGTGGTGGGAGCTGTCCCACGAACCACGCTGTGTGGCCACGACCCGTGTGGATGTCACTCGCCACTGATGTTAGCCGCCGGACGGGAACCAAACCAATGTGGGGCCATGTTCGTGGTGCAGCGCGCAAACCACCGCTCACATCCACTGGTACTGAAGGAACCTGGAGTAGCCACGGAGAGCCTCGCTCGCCTACAGCAGAGCGAGTAAATCAAAGGCACGTGTCTGGGGGGGTTCTTTGTACGACCGCGTCCTCCTCCACCGTGCCACCGTGCCACCGGCTAAATGTCCCTGACGGGCGTCTTAACACACCGGCCAGACAAAGCAGACACAGACACACACACAACATCCATACTGCAAGTGTAGAACATCCACACTGCAAGTGTAGAACATCCAGACCGCAGGTGTAGCGCAGACAGAGCGGTCATCGCGAGGCGTGGAGGGGTGACAACTTCACAGCTCCACACCGCACCGGCGTGGGGGGGGGGTACCTCCCCTACATCTCTCTCTCTCCCGCTCCCCCACGACAAAAACGCTGTCAACAAAACATTGCCGCGACATCGCGTCAGTCGTCGCATTCACGACAATAGCGGCGACGTCGGGTCGTGTTCTGTGTCATGCTCGTCACAACATCAGAGCAACAACACCGCTACCCACTAACACCGCTACCCACTAACACCGCTACCCACTAACACCGCTACCCACTAACACCGCTACCCACTGACACCGCCACCCACTGACACCGCCACCCATTGACACCGCTACCCACTAACACCGCTACCCACTAACACCGCTACCCACTGACACCGCACCCATTAACACCGCTACCCACTAACACCGCACCCATTAACACCGCACCCATTAACACCGCTACCCACTAACACCACTACCCACTGACACCGCTACCCACTGACACCGCTACCCATTAACACCGCTACCCATTAACACCGCTACCCACTAACACCGCTACCCACTGACACCGCTACCCACTGACACCGCTACCCATTAACACCGCTACCCATTGACACCGCTACCCATTAACACCGCTACCCACTAACACCGCTACCCATTAACACCGCACCTACCACTCTCCGCTCTGGGTACGAGGCACAACAAACTACAAAGCTGGCCCGTGTAGCCTGTAACAGACTGGAGGGGCAAGTGCTGTTAGCGAGCACCTATGAAGGCCGGCACGGCGCACGAGGGGGTGGGTGGCCAGCACCACGCCCGGCCGCCTTTGTCTTCCCAGTGGCGATGTGTTAACGCACCGCGCCAGCTACTCATTTGAGGCCGAGTCGACCTAGGGGAGGAGGCCCAGGAACCGGTTCAAATAATCGTCACCGCTGTTGGCCAGGAGAGGCCGTGGATGGGAATCGAACTCGGGTGGCCGGGTTCGTAGCGCAGCGTGGCGCTAATCGATACCCCCCCCCCACACACAGACGGACAGACGGGGGGGGGGGGGGTCTTTTGGAAACGCAACGCTCACCGACAATTACATGACCGAAGACGACGCTTTGTATAATATATTAAAAATAAACACATCCAAACACAAGCACAATGTAATGTTGTTTGCTAAACCTCTAAGTGTGTTGCCACGATGCGTCCTGTAGCTTGTTTCGCATGAAAGAAAAATGATCAGATTAAAATCAGCGTGAATAAAGCATTTGAATGAAATGAGATTCGTTGTTGTGAAACGTCTCGGAAGCGAGGTGTTTATATTGTATTCGATCTAAAAGGTTGCACAGCAGCAAAGCTCATTCATATTATTTTTAAACATCCACAACCCCGAGCACTCACTCGCCTTGTAGAGGAGGTTGACAGGCTGGCGGTGGGTGACTGCGGTGGTCTTTGTGGGATCAGTCGTGGTGGCGGTGGTCGTGGTGGTTGCTGCAGTAGCAGCAGCAGCAGCTCAGCTCCTCGCTCCACTCGCCACTCTCAATCCCTCCGCTCATTCACTCGCGCCGCCCTTTATATCGCCGCCTTCTCACGCCTCCCATTGGCTGCTCTCCTCCACGTGACGTTGTTCAACCTCCTCCCCCCGTGTTGAGCTTCCCCCCCAATGGGGGTGGGGCGATGTGATATGGGCTGGACCATTGTTGTTGTGTTGGGGGAGGTGATTGGATGGCCTCGATCATTGCTGGGAAATGGGGAGGAGGAGGGGGGGGATTTGTCGCTCGTAATCGGAAGGAACAATCCATTGCCCCTAATCTATGTCATGATTTTTTTTTTGTAAGCCAGCGTTTGGAAAAAATTATGAAAAAATAACACATTCCTGCGGAGGAAGCTGGTAGAAACGTTGGGTTGCTCGGTCAATGGCCAGGGTCAACGGCGGCGTGGTGTATTCCGCAAATATGCCCGACTGTGAGGGTGGGCACAAGCCGGCGTGAGTAGGTTAAACGTTGAGTTTTATAAGGGCACCACGGGGTGACCAGCCCTTCCCCACCCAGCCCCACCCCTCCCACCCCCCACCCAGCCCCACCCTCCCTACCCAGCCCCTCCCCACCCTCCCCACCCTCCCCACCCAGCCCCTCCCCACCCAGCCCTTCCCCACCCTCCCCTCCCCACCCAGCCCCTCCCCACCCAGTCCCTCCCCACCCTCCCCTCTCCACCCAGCCCCACCCCTCCCATTTTTGGATGCACGACGGCCGGACGGACATAATAATCCCCTGTGGGCTGGTGGAACCAGTGGGTTCCTACCAGTACCAGGATGTTCCTACCAGTATATATGTCAATCAGGGTGCAGCCTTAATCTAGCAGTGGCTTGACCATAGCTAATGATGATGAAGGGTGGAGTAGTGGTAGAGTGGTTATCACGCTGGGCTCTGAACCCGGTGACCCGAGTTCAATTCCCATGCGCGGCTAACGTGAGTGAGCGGTGGTTTCAGAACTGGTCCAGCCCACCACCCCCTTCGCCAACCCGCACTGACCAGCGTGGGGAAGTATGGCAAAACAAAATACCCACCCGGACCACTGCTATGGCGTTGAAAGGCCTCCATCCAGTGGCGTATTGAGGATGGCAGGAATGTAAATGTGTCGTGTCAGCAAAGCTCATGGCCGTGGGATCTTGCACGGGGATGAGTAATGGCGCGGTGCGCGTGCGTGGCGATGCGTAGAGGTGAGGTGACGATCAGGAGCACTCATCTCTGCGTTTGTCGTCAGTTCCAATCCAGGTCGGGGGTTGCCACGGGCAGAATATCTTTAGAGTGATCGTGGCCACGATTACAACATGAAGTTACTGAAACATTAAACAGATACAGCGTGACTATTGTACGAATGTGTAAACAGATAAGGGGTGGTACGATCTTGATTTGAAGCTTTCGTGACTGCAGGAATCCATACTCTTTGGTTCTTTTGGTAAAGTCACGTAGGTAGAAAAAATAATAATAATAAAAGATCACGACGTTTCGATCGCAACACAAGCGATCGTCCTCTGGCGAATAATAATAATAATCCAGAAGGGGAACTGCTGAACCAGCGAGAGGGCTGTCACAACAAGGCTCAACAGTTCTACTGCTGAGTTGTACGATGTCAAATGCAATCTGGAGTTATCGTAAAGGATGGGACAGCTCGGCATCAAATTGTGACGTCGATGGCGGAGGAGGCACGCCAGTGCGCACGTCTGAAGCAATGCACGGATCCCAGGTGTTTGGGAAATTCAGAGGGAAGACTAAGTGAGTTCAAACTAGATTTCAAGCTTTCGTGACTGCAGGGATTACTATATGGTTTGGTTCTTTTGGTAAAGTCACGTAGAGTTAGGCACATGTGTGTGTCTCTCTCTGCTTGTGTGTCTGTCTGTGTGTCTCCATGTCTGTGTTTTGTATCTCTCTCAAACTTAGCAATCTTTGGAGGAACGGAATCAACCAGGTAGGGCGTTGACTGTTGTGTTAGCCGACTCTCTGTGTTGTTATTGCATCCATTCATTCTTACCTGATGACGGATGCTTGTGTTGCAATCGAAACGTCGTATTCTATTATTATTTATTTTATTTTATTTCCACATGACTTTACCCGAAGAACCATAGAGTAGTACGAAGTGAGTTGTTTGTTTTCTCCCTGGTACAGTCAACTTTGGTGTCGTGGGGCATCTACCCTGTTGAGGTGTTGGGTCCTGAACAAACCCCGCGGATAGGAAAGGGACAGGGTCGTGTGTATGTTGAACTTCTTTCGCACCGTACGTAGCCAACCGTGCTAACCAGAGGTGCGGTGGGAAGGACAACAAACTAAACGAAAATAAATTCTTACTCAATGAGTTTTAAATGTATTGTATGCTTTAGAGATGAACCTGGCCCAGCGAATCTCCCTCTGCGTTGAAAGAGGAGGTGATAACCGGTCTAGAAACAAGTAATGCGTCGAAGTAAGATAATGTCGAAGGCAGAATTAAAGATAGGATTTGGGAAATCCGAGTGCAGGTTGTGGCGGTCGATTTGTGTTTGATGTCAGCGTAGTCTCCACTGCGAGTTATTTTTAACCTCCTGTATACTTAATTAATGGGGCGGAGCGGTGGCACAACGATTAGCGAATTGCTCTTAAGAACAAATTCCCGTGCACGGCTAACATCAGTGTTGAGTGTTTATTTGAACTGGTTCTGGGGCATTCTCTTCACCAACCCACACCGAGCAGCATGATAAAGCACGGTGAAACGATCCCGTGGGGAGGCCTTCATCCAGCAGTGGATTGGCAAAGGCGTGTATACTACATATCTACACAATTCCGTCGCTACCAGCGGGTAACTCTCCCACCGCTGGGAAAAGGTCTCCCACATATTCTTCCAATCCCTCCTTCATCCTGGGTTGTCCTCGCACAAAATGTCACCGTGGCGGCGGCGGCGGCGGGTACACCAGAGAAACCGATAACCCCTGCTGCATCCAGCCACGGCTCCACTTGCTGCGTTACCCACGCACACATTACCACCCTCCTACCTCCACCAGCGACACAATTAGGGCGACCCAAGCTCCGTCTGGAGGTAACCGGCTGGCTCTGGGCGCTGATGCTGGCACGACAGGGTCGCTTGACGGGCGCCGCTGGAGGTCGTGGGCTTGCACCTGGGGTTGCAGGCAGCCGTGACTGAACCCGATCACGGCCGACTCAGTTGACGGCCTCAGCCCAGTCGCCAATGACCGAACACATGAAAAAAACACGCGAAAAAAATACGTGACATTAAATGTAGATTGGCGCTTAATTAGTATTTATATTTGTGTTGCCGCAGAGGTCCTCCAACAAATGTGGGCCACATCAAGTGAACAGAGAGGCCGCCTCCAGTCACTTGCCAAGCCGTTCTGGGATGTTTCTACCGCGGAGAAGATGCGCCACAGCCTCGATCGTGTCAGCGGCATTCTCCGCACAGTGATGCGTCACGGTTGTTTATGTTTTAGTTTAATTTAGCTCAGTCTCAAACTAGGACCCATTTCTTACAAAAACGGTCCTTCCCTAGAGGCAAGGACCCATTTCTGCCAACGAGGTGGTGAGTGGTGAAACGGGGCCAGCGTTTTGCTCCTACCAATGCCGCTGATAAAGATGCACTCCCGGAAGGCCGCGGTGGGTTGTCTAAAAATGTATTAACTTTTGTTTTATGTGGAAAGACAAAAAATGGAAGGGGGTCCTTGTTTATTTTGAGTCTACGCTGCTCGCTGTGAGATTTCCGAATGGAAATGTCTTGCCCTTGTGGCGCAACGCCGGCAACACGATTGGAAAATCATTGGGAGCCAAACACCCCCAAAAAATACAACGCTTACTGTAAACGTTAATCTTAACCAACATCATCATCCTCGTCTCGTGTTCTCAATGCACGTGCAGTACAGATTGGCGGGACGTCAACAGCGGCTGTCCTACGGATAAACTGGTCACCGCCATGGGAACGTGACATTCACTCTCCGCTTATTCAGCCTGCGCGCTCCTTGACGCTCGCTGGAGTGGTGAGACTGTTTGACTTTGTGAACGATTCTTACAAATCGCCCTTTCGGCACGCGAGGCCACTTAGTTGGTTAGTCGCTAGTTTTAATTCACACGCTATTCTGTGCGTGAAGAGCTCTGAAGTATAAACGATTTAAATGTTGCACTTAAAACATGTAAATGGGGGTTATAGAGGGGTGATTGTTATCACGAAGGTATTTTTAAAGGCTCGCCAATTTAAGTCATATGGATGGAATTCACCACCGCAGGATGGGAAACAAAGGCATGGAAAAGAAGCCACAGTAAGGCTGAGTGGTAAAAGCCACATACGGATGGACTATACCACTGAACATACGGGGAGGTGTTTAAAGTGATTCATAAATAAGGCATCCTTAAGGCTTGTCTCATCAAAGCAATACATAACATTAATAATAAAGTAATCTTAATGGCTATTTTAAATCATTGAGCAGTGATAGCAGAATAACTGGATCACTCAAAGGCCAAAGTGTCTCCTTGCTCAAATAAACTTGGTGTGTCGCTTACCTCCGAAAGCGATCTTAAGCCAGTGGTGGAAATTACACGTTCCCATGGTGAGGGCCAGCATGTCCATGGGACGACCACTGATAAGTGGGTGTCCCGCAATCTAGTACTTAACCCAAGTTGACTCCTGACTGGTGTGCCTGCTTGAGAAGCAGTCCAGCAAGTGGGTTTCAGAATGTACCTATAGAAAATGCGGTCACCCAACCCCTCTGTACAATCAATGCCCACATCTCACTTGCAAGGGGGATGCTAAGACCCAGCGCCTGTTTGTTTGCAGAGCCGAGGTAAAGCCCTGCAATTGCTGCATGGTGCCACTGCTTGTGAAAGGGCTTCCACTCTAGGGAGCTCTAGAGGGTATTGGTTTACTCTTCCACGCTGGCCAGAGTTGTGGAATAGGTTGGAGATACCCACACTTTGTCCCACCATATGCGGCCTGCCGATATCCTCGCTGTGGTTTTTGTTGTTGTTGATACTTTTGAGTTGACAGAGGCGGTGGGGCAGGGGATTTAAGAACCTCGC